CAGACGTGACGGGAATGGATGGTGGAGGAAAAGTTAACAAAATGACAATTATTTCCAAAATTAAAAGTAATGAAAATGTAATAAATAGACAAATTATAAAGACTGGAGTTTGAGATTCTGATATGTGGATTGTAATTTGTTAAAAAGGATTCATCAATAAAACTGAACTTAAGTAATTTGTGATATGAAGTTTATAAAAACTTAATAATTTTTCTTAGTTTATGTGTTTGTATATTCATTTTGTGTGTGTGTATAAAGTCTATATCCTGGCGAAAATAAATTTGCTTTTGAGTATTGGCTTAATATAGCTATTCAAAAACTTGTTATGTTCATATCTATGAAGCAAGCTAAAGAAGTATATCTATAAACATATGCTATAGAAATTTTGTAAATCATCAGATGTATCTAAATTTAGATAGTGTTGTTAAAATATTGACGCTGAAGGAAAATTCGGAGATAAGATCATTATAAGGATATTATATTTACCAGGAATCCACTTATCTCTAAGATAGTGTCACAGTTGCAAAACTATGAAATATAAAGAAGAAAAACACCCAATTTCATTATTGTGTTGATAATGAAATAAATATAATAAGCAGTATTGGAACTTTGAAAATCACAAAATATACCGGGGTGTTTTTACTAATCAGAATAGTTACAGATATCTTTGAAAATAATACACATTTTACAAAAGCAATTATCCATTTTATTTGTTTACATTGCACTGAAAATTTACATCATACTTTTACAAAGTTTTTTTTTTCATAAAAATATACTTCTTTACAAAAGTGTATGCATTAATATAAGAGGAGTAGCCAGTTGCAGAAGAAACATTGTTTAAACAAGATCTTAAATGTATTAACCTTAACATTAATGAATGAATCATTGTTATTGCAGTCATTTGAATAAACAAGAATAAATAACTGATGGCATAAAATTTAAAACCGTAACCTGTCAGGAGAGTACAATGTTGAGAAAATTGTATGAATTTCCAAAACAATGTATCTCAACAAGAAATTCACTAAATGTCATAGAGATAGATCCAAGCAGTGCTCCAGGGTGCAATGGTTTCTCTTAGGCACTCTGTCTCATGATACAAAAAGTGGAGACTTTTCACAGAGTTATCCATATTTAAAAGGGACTACAACAAAGAGATCACACTGGGCACATAATTTTATTTTATGGTGTAAAACATGCTAGAAAAGGAAGACAATGACCTATTAAATAAAAATGCTGGCATTGCTGTATACAGTTGTAAATGAGTCACCAATAACTTACAAATATATGTATATCTTACTTTGACAATTAAAAAAAACTGTTGTATCTGAATCCTGTTGTATAAGGTAAATAAATTTTAAAATATGTGGAAATTTGATATAATCACAACTTTCGGAAGCAAATTTATATTTAGAATCTTTTTTTAGTCATTATGTTTTGACTGAGGCTGAACCAAAATACATTTCTAATCTATTATTAGATTGAAGTTGAATATATCAAGATAATGTAAGATAAGAGGTCTCAATTGGAAGGAAGGTAGTATATCATAAACTAAATAAACAGAGAAGATAATTGATATGTTCTGGTTAGCCTTCCAGAGAGCACTGGAAAGTTTGGTGGAGGATGTTAAGTTTGGTGTCTCAGATAACTGCAAAAATCATCATCCTTACAGAAAGGTTTTGCCAGCCAAAGTAGTTTCTGGATGATAAAACATGGATAAGCAAGGAGTTAAACACTACCCAGAGTTCACTGAATTATACCGGTTACTCCATAATGGGGAAATCAATAGGGTAGTACAATGACCTTGCCATTTACAAAACCTGTGCCGACCAGTCCAAAAGAATGGCAACATGACACCAAAGAACGAAAAACAGAGTCAAATTAGAGTGGGCAACCTCATCTCTTCTGTGGAATATATTAGCTCATAAACATTTAAAGACACAATCCAATCTTAAATAACCATGAAAGGAAGGAAACAATGCCTCAATAAACAAGAATGAAGAGCTGATAGAGTCATATGAAATACAGATTTATGGGCATGACGTAGCTCATGACAGTTAAAGAGAAGTCAGTGATCTACTGACTCTTGTAAGTATAGCTCTTATTTGCTACCCTTTATCTTTGACTCTTGTAAGTATAGCTCTTATTTGCTACCTAAATATTTTTTTTTTTTAACCCAGTCCCTCTAATATAGTTTATAAAGCACAGAAATACTGATAGTGGATGCTCCTCCAATATATGCAAATAAGTTTATGTTTTAGAATAATCTCCTTTTTAAAAAAAGCAAATAAACTGTGAGTAAGCACTCTCAGAGTGCAGCTGAATTTCTGTAAAACTCTCCATGGTGACCATGAAGAAGAATTATGGTCCAGTTTATGAAAAAACACTCTTCTCTATCATTCCTCAGGAAAAGGTGACCCAGCTAGTCCTGAAAAGTGTGCTTTAATTTGTTTAGCAGTGAACTAAATGTGCACTGTTTTGTGTGTCGATTTCCAAGCTTCTGAAGAAGGCTAGCGGTTGCCGTGTTATACCATTGTGCAAACCGTGTTCAAGTTGGGATCGAATCGTACTGCCTTCCCTTCCACTGATTTCGCATTGGTGTCGTACATGGGGTTTTCAAAAGCGGCTTGACCATTGTTATTTTCATGAACTGAACATCCCGTATATTGTGTTTTGGGTGCAGTCCTGTTGATGAAAACACTAATTAGCCATGCATTAACTTTATTCTAGAAATAGTAGAATTGACTCAAACAATATATTTGTGTTATCACTGTTAGTGAATAATGCAACTTAAAGGTATTAATTGAAAAATCATAAACACAGTAAATCAAACTTGCACAATTTACTTGTCACTATAAACTCCAAATTGACCTATAATTTACAATATAATACCTATATATGCATAGCACCAATATGAATAATGTAAATATAAATAAATGATACAATGTTACGTTTTATTATAAAATAAAAATTATTATTATGACTTATTGCATATAATATACATTATGATAATAATGATAAATTTAAATTTAATTCCTTTTAATCATTCATTCATTAAATATGTATTAAGTATCTGGTTTTTTTTTTTTTTTTTGGAGAGATTTTCGCTAT